CGCCTGACCTGACCTTTGTTCGCAAGAAAAGAGAACGAGATGCTGCAAGTGTTACATAGTGTAGTAACAGCGAATGGTTATCGGGTTATCCCACAATCAGCCGATAGCCGAAAGCGATAGAAAACGGAGTGACGATGCTAGCAATAATTTGTCGGGTATTTCTTAATGAAAATAAGAGTAACTTTATTTTCATTACGTTCACAGTATGTACATTCCGATTATACATGCAGTTATGGGGGACCAGATATTTGAAAGAAGTGGAAAAAGTACAGACAGAATTCTTTAAAAGGCTCTTAGACGTGCCAGAAAACACTCGAGGCTACGTGATCAGACTAGAAGTAGGTGGAGTAAACCTGGAATATGAAATTATTGGACCAGAATATTAAATATGAGGGACAAGAGATTCTCCAAAAGATGCTTGGAAAATCTTATAAACATGGACGCAAGAAACCCGGACCCAAGAAGAGACTGGTTTACCCAGGTAAAGGCAATACTGGAGGGATATGGCTGTGACGGCGAAATCGTCGAAACAGCAAATCTAAAACGAGTCAACAAAGACGAAGTAATCTTAAATAAAGTGAAAGAAATGCTTTTCCAGAATGATAAAACTAGAGAGGAGAACTCTACATACAGCCCTATTTATCAAAACATAAAAGACCTCTCGGGAACTAAACTGGAGGAATACCTGAAACTGAATATCCCAATAAAATACAAGAGAACATTCGCCCAATTAAGATTAGCAGGGAGGGGCGTATGGAGACTAAGAAGCAAAGACGGAACCGCTTATCATATTAAGGAAGAAAACATATGTCACCTGTGTAATGGGAATCGATAAAATTAAGAGAATGTCCGATGTACGACGAATCCAGACCGCATGACTTTAAGTACGAAAGCATCACAAAGATCCTTAAATCGGATGCTGAAGAAGACGTAAAGAAGATGCAATACTTCACGAATAGTGCAATAAGAATCAGAGCACTCTGCCTAGATGAATGATTCATATTAAATGCCAAGATGCAATGGAAGTGAAAATCGCTCAAACAAAGATTTTTCTTAGTCATAGTTTAAATTTTAAATCTTATATCTTTGTTTCACCTACATATTTCTATAGGCTCGTTTTAAAGTTAATAGTTTAATATAGTATAAGTATAAATATAATACCCTAGAATACCACGGTACTACAAACACATGTATAACACAAGATTGTAATAGGCTTCTGCCTAAATCAATTAACAATACATAAATAAAAAAAAGAATATACATGCAGTTATAAACGGCTTCTGATAGTTAAATACGTGTAATTAGAAAAGATGGAACGTTCACGTGCCCAAAATTTTCTATAAAAATGGTACAAACAACGTTGTGTTTAAACTCACTTTTATCGAACGAGAAAGTAATTGAACAATTGGTGATTTGTTATTCACGATATAGCGAAAGGTGTGACAATTCGAATTACTGGATAAGGTGTCACTTTTCCATAAACAATGTAACGGGAAAGCATTAGTTAAATTAGTCAAGACAAACTAATTTTGTATTTTTACGCGTTTCTATTAATCAGTGTCTAATTCACGTAAGTGCAAATTGTTTAACATTTACTGTACACGGTACCATGCAGTTAGAATGAAAAGACACGAAGAAATAATTGAACTTTGAAATTAAGCAGTTGTGCTAATGATTTTGAGACATAAATGTCCGTCCTTGTTTGGTGGAAAATGAAACATGGAAGTGAACTCTCTGTTGACGATGAATTTTGTATGTAAAATAAGTTAACAAAAGATGTAACTATCGTTTCAATAAAATACGTATTAGTTCTTAATAATATACCGGTGTACATAGGATTACTTTTGTAAAATCCTACTGCTATGAGCTGTGCATATCTGATATTTGAATGCGCTACTCTTCTCTTCTGACATAACTCTTCATTTGTGCTGAATTCTTATTTTTATCACTGTCAGAATTTGCAAATAAATTACACATAAAGTCAGGAATAACGTGAAGTGTTGCGAAAAGAAATTAATATAAAATTTTCAGGTCGTGTCCTGCACACAGTGTTTCGGTAACTAGAATTTATATTGTTCTGTTCTTTGATTCTCTAACTCTTTCGAGCGTACGGTGGTATAATTCTTCTACTACTCTTATTTCACAGTTTCTGTGATGTACCGTGGTACGAAAGTAGTAATGGCTGTGGAAATGTTCGATGTACTGTGGTACAAAAAGTGTACCACCTATTGCAAATAAAAATATTTCTGTAAAAATAGTAGTAATTATGTATTACCAGTAGTGTTAAAATGTTCCTTAGTCTTCGTATCTGAAAGTGTTAAGAGATGTCAAGTTTACATTCCTACGACACACAAAAATGTAGATTTTGTAGATCTTGTAGATTTAGCACTCCATACGGTGTCTCGTTAATCATGTGTACTTGTATCAAGTGAGATTACCCTTTTCTATGATAAACAAATAAGCAGTTACTAGAAAATGTCAATTTTCTCTTCCTTGATTGTAATGAAATTTCTGATAACACCACTGAAACTACAAGCTAGTAAGAAGTTATTAAAAAACTGAAGGTGAAAATATGTGAATGTTACACTGTGACATGTGTAAATAAATAATGTTTTACATGAAACGTGGAACGTATTTAATTGGTGGGAGGTAGCTAAACGCACAGTTAAAACAATTTATATTCTTCATAGAAAACATGGTATCTTAGATATACTAAATTGGCAAATTTAACGAACAATAAAATTTTCCTTTCTTTCGATAAGTTTTCTCTGTGCGAGGTAAAAGTTGATTGTAGAAGAATGTAAAATCGCTGGTGGTCTGAGAATTATCCATTATCTTCTTCTGTTTATCGAATAAAGATGGGTGGGGTGGGTCGGGAAACCACAAATCTCATGCTAAGGCGTGATATGACCTCTCAGTTATGCCGTGCAGGATTAGCTAAGAAGAGTGCACTGACATAATCCGCCCTCGGATCATCTCTCGTCGTACTTTCTTGCTTTAATGTATTCAGAAATGCATTATTATAGAACATTGCTTCCATTTATTCTTTGGTCAGCTAAAGCATACAAATTCAATAACTATTATCCTATGAACATTTGAAAATCTTGGTAGGTGTGATCAATTCTACCACTTACGTAGGTATAAAGTATTATCTCCAGCAAAAATGCATACGAGATTCAATATAGTTATCGTACAATTTTTAATCGGCACGATACAATGTCACGCTCTAATGAATGACGTCTACGCGCACGTTCTGCGTGAACAAAAGGATAGAGATAGTCTGTTGGATAAAAATTTCAATGGACCTCTCTTTCTATCGGTGTACCAAGTCACGAGAGGAGACCAGATTATCGTTCCTCGTCATCTTTCAGTCTCTGCTGCAATTGCTCCGCTGGATTCTGAATTACTCTACCGGCCAAAAGTTTGGAATTACTGAGCAATTTACAGAAAAAAGTCAGAGACTTTGAGAATTTTTTATCATTCGAATCAATCGATATGAGATAAATTGATAAATGTAGAATTGAGATAAACTTCAAATTCTTAAAAAATTAGCAGCAGATTTAATATTGACGAAAAGTGACATTGAACTCGTTAATCGACACTTGCGGGTACCCTGATTTACTCGCGAGACATTTTCTTTCTGAAAAGTATTACTATGTGGTTGGAAGTAGGTTTCAACGACGTGGCTAGATTATAACTTATTTTCTCACTCGCATAGCTGTCGACAAAAAATTTCCACTAAAGGCCGTCGCAATTTATAATTGTAATATTTATATAAAAATTTGTGTATGATTTAAAAATTTTAAATATTTAATTCAGGTATGTCTTAAGGTACACAACTATACTAAACTTTTATTAAATATTTTCCATTTTTATGAAACAAAAGCTATTTCTATAAGTTATGAGCACAATTTGTACATTTTACTCTTCTTGTTGTGCTGTTTAGATAGAAATTATTTGCATTTTTCAGAGTCACCCCCTTACCGCTTGTACCACCGGTTCGGAAACACCCTGCATAATTAATTTATATGGGTAGTACTATAACTTAAACTAAGATAAATACAACATATTGAAAATTTACAATATGGCTGCATTTGAAAGAGAATACGCGTATTTTTCGCTGAAATTTTCAGCTTTAACGCCTAAGGAAATCTTAATATACCTATATATATTGAGGTGCTTATTTGAAAAATTCTAATACACACTGAAAAAGACATTTACTTCATACGTAAATGCAAATTTTAAGTTAATTCGACCAGTTGTGTTCTTGCAAGTTTCTACCAAACGATTGTAAAAATGTTGTTTCGAAAGAAAGATGTTTAAAGTTTCAAGATAGAGATGATAAATTCGCCAGTGAGCAATCACACGAGTCGGAATTGAAGACGTATTTATCTTGTTCTCTCACGTTAAGACATATCGTGTGTCAATTCTTCCCCAATTATTTATTTATGACTGCGATGTATTAATAAATAAGGAATGAACTGAAGTTGAAGTTACACGAAAGATTTATTTAAATAAATTATCGAGCCTTACCGAAAGATAAAACCGAAAACACAACTTTTTGTTCCTAATTCACGTCTTATTTTATCATTTATCACCCCCAAAAATTTCTCTCACCTGCATACTGTCCGTTCAAAATAAGAATAACCTCGTTTCGCGCATGGGACGTGCCTAAGGCAGGTCTGGAACGTCCGAATCCCCACTTAACCGCCTACGTTTTCCTCCGTCTTACCCTCTGCTACGCTCTCTGTCTATGCGCAGAACGGACGAGAATCGGTCCGAGAGCGAGGTTATTCTTATTTTGAACCAAGTGTAGATGTATTTGTGTAAAATTAATTCGCAGAAGAGAGAAGAACGAGACGTGATATTTTTATAATCGATATACCGCAGTAGGGCACATGCAACAATGTCATGAGAAATTACAGGATTCTTAATTAACGTTTATTATTATGTACATGTTATGTACAAAATCAGAAGTAACGGAAGAGTAACTGAACGGATTAACGTGCAACAACAATGTCGTGCTCAGGTTTCGGTGGGTGTGCTCTAATGTATTCAAGAGCCCTTTGGATCAGTGGAGAAATAGGTGGAATATGATCACCCTGAGGTTGGAATCCATTGTGATCAGCAATATATGATACGCTTATTGGCGTGCCATCAGGTGCCTGATATTGATATTGTCCTTGGGCGACAATTGCTGGTGCGTTTCTTGCGTCAGTAGCTACCGGTGCTCCATTTTCAGCGTGATAAATTCCGTTCTCAGTTTCGTAGGAGAATGAATAGGTACCGTCAGCAGCTATATCTTGGGATTGTTTGACAACAGCCGGAGGAGCGTGAACAGCTACATCAGCCGAAGCCATTGCCAAGAGAGCGAGGGAGGCCGCCATCTGAAACGAATGTTATTTCTGTTGTTTCCCTTCTTCTATCAGTAAAGCAGCGTGCCATTATTTATTTACTTGAAAATATTTCACATGTATGATCGAAAGATACAGTCTTTTCGTAACTTATTCTTGATTAAATGCGCACAAGTATGTACATATAAGCCGCTCATTTGCCAAATCGGTTAACTCCACAAAACAAGAGGCAGACAAAATTGATGAAATTATATACGTTGTTCTTTAAAATTCCTTTTAAAATATAAATTCAAATAAATACATATACATACATATATGTAAAAATTGTGTTATCACTATTTGGTTATTATTGTTGTTTGTTTGATTATTTATATCAATGTGTTTACAACTGCATTGCGAGTGGTGATTGAGCGAGTGCGAGTTGAAATGTAACGTGTATGTGGTTACAAATAAAGAATAAAATGTCGGTCATTTTTAAATGTAGTCCTTACAAAAATATTGGTAATCGAGGAAAGTTTGTATCTTTTACCTACAAAATATTTCAGAAAATAATTTCATGCAAAACTTCATGCTTCACATTAATGTAGGTTAGTGCGATAATGTTATTTTTATTAAGCATCTCAGATGAGATCTTTCTACATAAAATTTCTTACGTAAATCGCAGAATATACTTTTAAAGTTCTGTATACAAGACTCGTATTCTTATTTCGACAGATAATTAAAGCACAGTCAATGGAGTAATTTTATTTCTAACATTTAACGTGCCAACAAAACTGAAGTAGTTGATGTAATCGATTAAAGTATTAATATTGCAAAGAACTTACGAAAAATTTCATTTTGAAGGGCAGGAGGCGGTCTATTACTAGTGAAATCCAGTGGGAGAAGCTATGATTTCGAATGTGATTCTACATAACACGAATGTGCTTTTATACGAATGTCCGGATTCCACTTTCCCCAAATATTGCGCTATCCGAAAAACAAGGAAGCACGGGTTCCGGGCGAAAGAAAGAAGAAGATAAAATTAACCCGCCAGGCAAGCAGAAAGAACTCTCTATGAAATTTATTTGTTGGTTTGACATTTTCACGTTGCATAAATTGATTGCTTGTATAATCACGCTTAGGCCGCTGTCATAATTCAAAAGATGAACGGAAGGACAAGTGTGTCCTTCCTCGAAGTAATAGCATATTAATGTGTAATATTTTCTGGCTAGCTAGTTTAACCATTTGGTTAACTCGGCGTAACTTTGTACGGTGTAATAATACAAGTGTGCATTTAATGATTTTTATATTCTGAATACACCGACAAAACACACTAACAATAAGTGAAAAATATTCGTTTTTGTTTTATGGTGAAAAAAGCATGTAGAAATGATCCCTTTACTGCTAATGCATAGTAAATCATAGTATGACGAATAAAAGATTTTTGTAGAAAATTAAATAATTTATTCTAGATCTACACTACCGTCCATAAGTATTTGGACACCCTATAGAACGGAATAACTTTTTTAAAATTGGGCCAAACGACTTGAGTTTTTTTTGAGAAGTTAGAAAGATTAGTTTACTATATGACGTGTACAAAAAATTTTGAAAATTGCGGTTTGTGGGTATGGCGAAGAAAATTGTAAAGGTCACGTTTTATCTGAGCTCGTAATGAAAATTTAGAAAATAAGTTTTGCAGATCTATGGAGAAACAAGCGACAGGCATCGAAAGATGTAAGAATCTTCAGATTTATCAGTTACAGGCGTGAAATAGTGCGATTTTTACAATCTTTAACCGTTTGTAGTTCGTAACAACATTAACCGATTTCGATGAAATTTTCAGCACGTGTATAATTCACATAGATCTACAAAACGTATGTTTTAAATTTTCATCACAAGCCTAGATAAAAAAGTTGGAAACAGTGACCTTTACAATTTTCTTCGCGATTCCCACAAACTGCAATCTTTTCAAAATTTTTTGTACACGTCATCTAGTAAACTAATCTTTCTAACTTCCAAAATAAACTCAAGTCGTTTGGCCCAATTTTAAAAAAGTTATTCCGTTTTATAGGGTGTCTAAATACTTATGGACGGTAGTATATGTCGTGTAAAACAAAAATCTGCGAAGTGAGAAATATTTTATTTAGATTAATTATTATCGCAAAACAATTTAAATTCGTGTGTGTTTTCCAAATTCTATACCGTATTGTTTTTAATTTCTAATATTATTATTGATAATGCATTATACGTGACATAGTAGAAACGGTACTTAATTTACACGGTAAGTAGTATTTTTAACTTCTTTATGTACATAGCACTGTAACACCAATACCAAAATACCATATGTTATGTCAAGAATTTTGCCATCTGTTCAGTTCTGATTGTGTAATCTCATAAATGTGGTATCATCTCTGGATGTGTTATGTAATAACCTTTCCATTTTTACGCATCTCTTCCGACTTTAGTAGATGATCATATAGCTGTTTTCGATACGAATAAAAACAATTTGATGAATTTAAAGTATGTAAAATATATGCGGTTTTTAGTCACTTAAAAAACATATGAAGTGTACGATATGCACAGACTGTGAAAACTATACAAGTTATTTCGAAAGTGTAAATTAAACACGAATACCTGACAAAGTAAATTCGAGAAATCTTTAATTAATTTCTAATATAATACTTATTTATAATATTTAGTTGCACTTGTTAATTTTACCACATACGTGTAACTTTTTTTTTAAGTAAAAGGAATTACACTATAGAATTGAAAGTAACCTTAGAGATGTTACCTTGAAAAGTATTGCCATTAAATTATCGAAAAAATAATATCCACAGAGGAATTTTGCAACGATATTTTATCACTTCCTTTTATTACTTGTACAATACTGAATTCTACATTTTCAGTACATTATGTTTACAGTATAGTGTAAATATACAAGTTGCTCTGTTACTGGCGATTCTACATGAAAAAGCAAATCGAAAAAGGGGAATACAATTGTTTCGTTCGCGGTTTCGATTTCGAGAATAACAAAGTTTGAAAATAAGTTAAATATTCATACATTTGGTTAATTGACTAGATAAATTTCAGTATGGACTATAATTTCTGCCAATTTCGTTTACGTTTATAAACATTGCTAACCTCGTCACTCCTTTTCATTTGTTAATATATAATTTACAGAATGTACTAAGCAGCTGTAAAGAGACAATTTCGTATAAAATTAGAAAAAGAGCACTGCTAATTACTTTGCCTTATGCATGTACAGTAAATTCTCTACAAGAGTCGGTAAGTTTGGATTCTACAAGTGACAGTATAGATGGTCCTACGCCTAGGTCTGCGTCATTGCTGCGCCCATGTTATCTCGCTCGCAGTCAGTCAAGCGTGTAACGCGACACCAGTCTGTTTCCTTTACGAGATTACACGGATCCACAAATCATAATAGAAAAATAC